AATTATTTTTCTGAATCTTGTTTCCTGGCTTTTAGTTTGGTGAAATCACTTGATTTGAGGACTAATTTTCAGAGTTGCCCTCTTTCGTATATGTATTTGTCTTTATGTAGGATTCTTTTTTCAAATATTTGAATTCAGTATGTTATGAAAACATTTTTTTCCTCATCAGAATACCAAATAATATTTTGTTCTTTGATTTTAACAGCAACATCAGGGACAGATAGAGTAGAATGTCTTTCTTGCTGTGAAATTTTTTCTTTAGTTAATTCACTAAACTAATTCTGATTACATACATGTATTTCCATATTGACATTTTCCTTACATGTAAGTTTGTGTATCATGCCCCTCTGTGTTACTCTTGAATGTTTCATTGCATGGAGTAGATGTTGGTAACTACTCATAGTAGTGGTGCATGTAGTCACATTCCCTTTCTCTTTTATTACTTCTTACTCTTCTATTTTCTTCTATTCCTGTTGACTAACTTTGCTCCCCTCCCACTCCCCAACCATCCAGGCTTCCTGCTGCCAGTGACCGCTGTCAACGTGGTGGAAACCAGTGGAACACAAGGGCCTTGCCCCCACCCCAGACTGCACATAGAAACTACACTGACTTTGTCCATGAGCACAATGTGAAGAATGCAGGAATCCATCATGGTGCTCATTTTCCTGGCCATGCAGCCATGACTGAGATATGAGTGTTAAGCCACTTGGGAATTGGGTCCTTTGTCTTTGCACGTTGATGGTATATTTCTGGTGTTTATAAAGGACTGGTCACATTAGGAGTATTCGGGAAGGTTTATACTGAGCCATTAGTTGTTTAGTGTTTATAATTGAATTCTTCAATGAAAGGGAAAAGTATCTAAAGAAGGTATATGCCCTTATTGATAACTACAGATATTTTGTGCTGAAAAGGGTGTATATACCATTGTGATTGTGCAAAGATTTTTTCATGATTTTAACAGGTTAATAGATCACTTGGAATATATCATAGGAAAAAGTTTGTGTTTCTGAATAAGCTGCCCCTTATTACCCTTCCATATGCCATCCAAATTGAGGCTGAAAGAATCAGACACCCTAAAAGCACATCAGGCACGATGTATATTAGCCTTTTGTGATACTTTCATAAAACTTGTTCTTGCACACTATTTTAATACTTCTAAAGTGGCTCATGT